ATTAAGATTTATTTATTATGCATATAATATTCTGCCTACATGCATGCCTGAATGCCAGAAGATCCCATTCTAGATGCTTATGAGCATCTAGATCCCATTCTAGATGCTTATGAGCCACCATGTAGTCACTGGGAACTAAACTCAGGACCTCTGGAAGAGCAGCCAGTGCTCTTAACCTCTGAGCCATCTCTTCAGCCCAGCCCCCTTCTGTTTCTCTTAAGTAGTATATGCATTTATACTTAGACCCATTTTGCTTTAGTCTTTTCTTTCTTTCTTTCTTTCTTTCTTTCTTTCTTTCTTTCTTTCTTTCTTTCTTTCTTTCTCTCTCTCTCTCTCTCCTTTTTTCTTTCTTTCTTTCTCTCTCTCTCCTTTTTTTCTTTCTTTCTTTCTTTCTTTCTTTCTTTCTTTCTTTCTTTCTTTCTTTTTTTCTCTCTTCCTTCCTTCCTTCCTTCCTTCTTTTTCTTTTTTTTTTTTTGAGACAGGGTTTCTCTGTGAAGTCTTAGCTGTCCTGGACTTGCTCTGTAGACCAGGCTGGCCTCAAGCTCACAGAGATCCACTTGCCTCTGACTACCAAGTGCTGGATTACAGACATGCTTCACCACTGCCTAGCTCGCATTAGTCCTTTTACACCTCAGGAGATATTTAAATTTTATTCTGCTTCTTTCTGGCTTTTCATTTTATTTCTGAGTATTACTGAGTATTATAACAATATTTTCCCTTGTATTGAGATGTCAGCTATTGGTTTACCAGTTTTATAATTGAAAATAAATTCTTTTTCATACAATACCTCCCAACCACATTTCCCCTCTCTCCACAGCTTCCAGCTAACCTTTTCCCTCTTTCCAAGATCCACTTCCTTCCTTTCCCTTTCCTCTTCAGAGATGAACAGGTCTCCAAGAGATAGCAGTCAAACAGGGCAAGACAAAATGCAGTAAGACAAGGCAAAAGCCCTCATATCGAGGCTGAACAAGACCACCCAATAGGAGGAAAAGAGTCCCAAGAGCAGGCAAAAGAGTCAGAGATACACTTATTCCCATTGTAAGGAGTTCCACAAAGCTACCAAGCTAAGAGCTATAACATAGATGGAGAAGATCTGGTGCAGACCTATGCAGGCTTTGTATTTGCCACTTCAGCCTCTGTGAGCCTATGTGAGCCCTACTTTGTTGATTTGGTGAGCCATATGTGTCCTGGTGTCCTTCATCTTTTCTGACTTTTAAATCTTTTCTTCTCCTCTTCTGAAGAGTTTCTTGAGCTACCGGGGGAGGGACTCAATGGGGACCTCCAATTTAGCTTCTCTCTGCATAATGTCTGGCTGTGGGTCTCTGTATTCTCTCCCAGGCACTGATCTATAGGAATCATTTCCCTCCTTTCCTCCTCTCTCTTCCTTTTTCTTTCTTATTTTTGCCAGTTGTGTTTGGTTCTACTCTAGGTCTCTGAGTTATACAGTCTCTGGGTCCTGGACATCCAGGCAGGATGGGCTTCCAGGTGGAGCACAGGCCGTCTCTCATGGCACAGCCTCAAGTTAAACCAAACTTTAGTTGGCTATTTCTACAAGTTCTGCTATGACCATTGCCCCAGCACATCTTGCAGGGCAGGACAGATTGTAGGTTGTAGGCTTTGTGGCTGAATTGTTGTCTAGGTTTCTCTTTCAGTAGCCTACAGGAGTGGGAGTACCCTCCTACTCCAAAGAGACTAGAACATAGGGATGAAGACTTCATGCATGCATCAGCTTAAGCTCTCCACATTTAATGAGCTACGTGGATGTTGTCCTTGGCAATGGGCCCCACTGTTAGTTTTCAGAGAGCAAGAGAGCAACATTCTTCCCTACCATCAGCCTGTGTTGTTTAGTAGTCTCCATGTGGACCCCCTCAGCCAACAACTCAACTGAATGTAACCTAGTCCTACTACTGGAAGCCTTGTCTGACTACTACTAGGAGACCTCAGTAGGGTCTCCTAGTTCCCAGGAAATTTCCACTGCACAAGGTTTCCATACCACTCCCCCAGTGCTCCCAAATTCTAGCCCCATTCCCACCTATTTGATCCCTCCCAGACCTGTTCCTATCCACTCCCAGTTTACCCACAAAATTTATTCTTTCTCTTTTTCCCTGAGAGGTCCGTGCATTCCCCCTAGAGCATTACTTTTTCCCTAACTTCAGGGTCTGTGGATTGTAGCTTGATTCTCATGTACTTAATAGCTAATATCTAGTTATAAGTTATATACCATACCTCACTCAGGATGATTTTTTTCTAGGTCTACCCATTTGCCTCCAAATTTCATGATATATATTTAAAACAACTGAGTAATACTCCACTCTGTAAATGTACCACATTTTTAAATCCATTCTTTGGTTAAGGAACATTCGGTTGTTTCTAGTTTCTGGCTATTATAGATAAAGCCATACTTTATACTGAGCAAGTATCCTTGTGGTAGGATAGAGTGTCCTTTCTGTATATGCCCAAGAGAGGTATAGCTAGGTCTTGAGGTAGATTGATTCCTAAATTTCTGAGGAACCACCATAGTTTTGACTTGCATTTCCCTGTTGGCTAAGGATGTAGAACATTAAATGTTTCTCACTTAAAAAAATTTGAGATTCCTCTATTGAGAATTCTCTGTTTAGATCTGTACCCTTTTTTATTTTTTATTTTTTTTGTTTTATAGACAGTGATATTTTTTATCTGTCCAATCTAACTATTTTTTTAATTTTTTATTAATTACACTTTATTCATTTTGTATCCCCCCATAAACCCCTCCCTCCTCCCCTCCCGATCCCACCCTCCCTCTCCTTCCTGCATGCATGCCCCTCCCCAAGTCCACTGATAGGGGAAGTTCTCTTCTCCTTCCTTCTGATCTTAGTCTATCAGATCACATCAATGTGGCTGCATTGTCCTCTACTGTGGCCTGGTAAGGCTGCTCCCCCCTCAGGGGGAGGTGATCAAAGAGCAGGCCAATCAGATTATGTGATAGGATAATTGGATTATTTAGTTTTATTTGTTATCTATTTCTTGAGTTCTTTATATATTTTGGATATTAGCCCACTACCAGATGTGGAGTTTGAAAAAATCTTTTCCCATTCTGTAGGCTGCCTCTATCTAATTCATGGTGTTCTTTGCCTTACAGGAACTTTGCAGTTTCACAAGGTCTCATTTATTAATTGTTAGTATTAGTGCCTGTGCTGTTGATGTTCTGTTCAGGAAGTTTTCTACTGTGCTAGTACATTCAAGGCTCTTCCTCACTTTCTCTTCTATTAGATTTTTTTTTTGTTTAGTTGTATCTTTTTTAAAAATTATTTTAATTTTTATTAATTACAGTTTATTCACTTTGTATCCCCCCTCTACCCCCCTCCTTCCTCCCCTCACAATCCCACCCTCACTCTTCCTTACTGGTGTCCCTCTCCCAGTCCACTGATAAGGGAGGTCCTCCTCCCCTTCCCTCTGATCCTAGTCTATCAGATCTCACCAGGAGTGGCTGCATTGTCTTCCTTTGTGGCCTGGTAAGGCTGCTCCCCACCTCAGCGGGAAGTGATCAAAGAACAGGTCAACCAGTTCCTGTCAGAGACAGTCCCTGTCCTTATTACTATGAACCCGCTTGGACACTGAACTGCCATGGGCTACCTCTGTGCATGGGTTCCAGGCCATCTTCATGAGTGGTCCTTGGCTGGAGTATCAGTCTCAGAAAAGACCCCTGTGCCCAGAGTTTTTGGATCTGTTGCTCTCCTTGTGGAGCTCCTGTCTCCTCCAGGTCTTACTATCTCCCACTTCTTTCATAAGATTCCTTGCACTCTGCCCAAAGTTTGGTTATGAGTCTCAGCATCTGCCTCAATACTCTGCAGGGTAGAGTCTTTCAGAGGCCCTCTGTGGTAGGCTATGGTCCTGTTCCCTGTTATCTATATAAAATTTTATTACTAACATCAAATTTAATGGAGAGAAACTCAAGGCAATTTCACTAAAATCAGGAGCAAGACAAGGTTGTCCATTTTCTCTGTATCTATTTAATGTAGTAGTCCAAGTCCTAGCTAGAGCAATAAGACAAAGGAAGGAGATAAAGGGGATACAAATTGAAAAGAAAGAAGTCAAAATATTGTTATTTGCAGATCATATGATATTATACAAAGTGATGCTAAAAATTCCTTTAGGAAATGCCTACATCTGATAAACACATTTAGCAAAGTAGCTGGATACAAGCTTAACAACAATAACAAATCAGTAGCTCGCCTATGTACAAATAACAAATTGACTGAGAAAGAAATCAGAGAAACAATATCTTTCACAATATCCTCAAATAATATAAAATATCTCAGGGTAACTCTCATCAAGCAGTGAAAAAGGCTGTATGATAAAAGCTTCAAGTCTGGCTTTCCATTTAATTTGTGTGGTGTGTCCTTGATCTGTTTTCATTGTGTATAGGAATATTATTCTTTTTTTTTTATTCTTTCCTCTCAACAATATGTGTAGCATGTGTCTTTGATACTTCTTTGTTGTTTATTTTTATAGAATAGTTTTTATGAGCTCTCCTATGGATATAGAAATAAGGACACTTACTTTCTGTTATGTAGATGCCTCCTGGTACTGCTTTGTGCTTTGCCCTACTAGCCTTTTTTTTTTTTTTTTTTTGTCTCTGTCACCTCTCTGTTGTTAAGTGGGTTCTACTTTCTAAGTGAGAGTCTTTGCTTAGTTTGGCATAGTTTTCAGTGTACTTCCTATTGATCAATGGGTGTAGAAAAGGGAAGGGTTATTTCCTCCAGCTTTCTTGGCTTCTTCCCCTCAGATATGGGTACATATAAGAGTTTATGTTGGTGCTGGTTTGTCCTCACTCTTTGAAGTTTGTTGATTAGTTATCAGTGAGGTTTCAGTTTTGATATCTAGTTGCTCTCTCCACATGAAGATCCAGAGGCGTCTAAATGCTATCCTTTTCCTGTCACCATTCCTGGCTTCTAAATTGCTAATTATATTGTAACAAAGTTGGTTTTCTTTTCTTTTCTTTTTATAAATCACTTCTGCAGAGGAAAAGGAATTGGTGTGCAGAACACTCATCTTTTCTAGAAGAAAGGTCACAACAGTTGAGAAGAGCACATTTCAAAACAGTGGAAACAGCTCTCTCTCTCTCTAAAGCATGGCTCAAGTGTGGAGAAGGATTTCAGAACGCTTCTGAGTCCCTGGTAATAGAGCTATAAAATTGTTTTTACTGAATGTAGAAGGTCCTGGGTATCTAGACTGTTGTAGCTAGTTTCTTTGGAATTCTCTTACTTTTCAGAGCCCTACTTTTCTTGAAGAATGTACACTGAGAATGCTGTCAGGTATGAATGTAATACTCCTTGTAAGGAATATACTTATAAAATATTTGTATATTCAGAGTCTTTTGTCAGTCTGATTGCAATTAATTTTTATGTATGGTGTAAATTATAGAGTAATACTGTTATAAACTAAAGATAAAATATATAGTTACATGTAGTAAGGTCATATATATGAGAAGACATTAACATTGACTACTATGTGAAATGTTTCAACAGCTCAATTTAGAGTCCAGAAAAGGATGAGAATAAATTTTTGTATCTACAAGGACTACATGTTTTGGGAACATTCAATTGGTGACTATTTTTAAAAAGCAGAGGAATATGTCAGGGAGGGTATAATTTAATACATTTTACAAAATAGTATTGGTGGTTAGCCTTTATTCACATGAGTCATATAAGTGAAATTATTTTTATTATTATTTTGCACACAGCCATTAACAAGTGAAAAGACAGCTGTTACCGAAAAACATGTCGAATTATCTCCAAGACCAAAGAAAGGTAACAATGCTTTGTTGATTTATTTCTTATTTTTTATTTTTTTAGCTTCTGGTTTTGGAGACACAAACTTTGGAGCCCTTAGATTTATAGGTAAGCCTTCTACCACCTAACTAAATTCCCAACCCCTAACATGTTGATTTATTTACAGATGAGCTTAAGGCTATTTTTCTGTGGTTTATTTTCATCCTTTTAAAATGTCAATTATATAGTTTGAATAGTTTGTATATTCAGAGTTAAAAGGAAGGAAATAGGTGTTTTTTGAGAATTCATCTTTCATCTCTATCACTATCTACCCATTTGCTCATGCTGGTGACCATTTAACATGTTGGTTGTCCTTACTGAGTTTACTTTAAAAAAAAAACAACTTTTATTTATTCTTTCATATATTACATCTCGACTACATTAAATCCCAAGTCTCCTCCCTCCTTTTTTTTCTGACCCCTCCCTTCCCTCAGTTTCCCTTCAGAAGAGGACAGGCCTCTGTTGATATAATGTTCTTTTGGAATGTATACAATTTACCTTGTTCATTCAAATGCTGATTTTTCTCCCCCACTATATGGTTTCAATCAGGACATTGCATTGTGATGCTTACCCTTAAGCATCACCTGTCTCAAGTTTGTGTGAACATGCCACCATTTGTTCTCTAAATTGTCAGTTAAAACAACTAGCGACAATGTTGAGCAATGGAGAGGATAGGGTGGGACATCCTGGTCCGGAGTGGGAAGAGGAGGAAGGAAGCAGGAAGAGAGGAGAGGAGGAGGAGAATCTGCTGGAGTGGTCTGGAAACCACGTGGAGAAATGAACTGGTTCTCAGATTTGACTAAAAGCAAGTGTAATGGGTGAAATCTGAATGGTAGGAAACTGCAGGCTTGGAGATTTAGGATGGAGTAACTATTGCTCAGCATTGTGTTCTAGGTTAATTAAATAAATCCTAGTCTCTGTGTGGTGATTTGGTGATACAGCTGTTTAGGAATAACTGTGGCTTAACTGAAAGATTCAACAATAGTAAATTTAATTTATAACTATAGGCCTCCCAGGGATATCAGCCAAACATGTCAAGTTGCAATAAAACCAGGCACCTCCCCTCATATTAAGGGTGGTTGAGGCAACCCAGTAGGAGAAAAAGGGTCCCAAAAGTAGTCAGAAGTGTTAGAAAAAGCCCCTGTGCTCAATGTTAGGTGTTCACAAGAAGACCAAGCTCTGCAACCATAACATTTGCAGAGAGCATAGGTCAAACCCATGTAAGCTCCCTGACTGTCAGTTCAGTCTATGTGAGATCCTATAAGCCCAGCTTAGTTGATTCTGTGGGTTTTCTAGTCATGTCCTTGATCTCTCTGGCTCCTACAATCCTTCCTCTCCCTCTTTCTCTTCACGATTCAATGAGTTTTGCCCAATATTTGGTATGGGTCTTTGCATAGCAGAATAGCATTAGGATTTTTTTTTTTTTTTTTTTTCAGGTGTGTTTGTCTCTGGGCTATCTGGTCTCCAGTTCCTAGTCTTCTAGGCAGTGTCAGGGGTGGGCTCCCTCTTGTGGCATGGGTCTCAGGCTGGGCCAGTCATTGCTTGGACACTCCCACATTTTCTGCTACCTATACCCCTTACTGGGTTTACTTTAATAATAGAATCTAATACAGTAGTTCTCAACCTGTGGATCATAGTCCATTTTGGGCCAAATGGAGTTACCTAAGACTGTTGGAAAACACAGATATTTACGTTATGACTCATAACTAACAAATCACAGTTATGAAGTAGCAATGAAAATAATTTTATGGATAGAAGTCACTACAACATGAAGATCTGTATTAAAAGGGTACAGCATTTAAGAAGATGGAGAACCAATGATCTAGTATAATAGCTCAGGTTTAGAACTTTAGGGAAATAATGAATAAATGAAGAAGCAAATGCTCTGGTTTGAATTCTAGTACCACAAAACATTTTCATAAGGAAAATAAACATATGACTTATACTGTAGGAACCACTGCTACAAACTGTAATTTTTGCTTGATAACTATATGGGTGTTTTCTAACTACAAATACGAGAAAATTCTGCTCACAAAAATTAAGGATTGATGTTATCTTCTAGATAACAAAACATCTAGAGAATCAACTATTTTGAGCTCTGTAATGTTAATATGGGGTTGGTTCTCCTGAGTGTAAGGTGGTATTTTTGACTAAATTCTTGAGGGGACTGTTTTTGTTGAGAAATTTTAATCCAATAAACTTTGCCTTCTTTGGGAAATAGACTTTTTTTCAGGACTGTTGTTGGTTCTGATGCTAGCCCTCAAGATCTGGTTAAACCTATCCTTGTTATATAAACCTGCGTAAGTCATTATATCTGATTGGTTGATTAAACAGCCTATACCTGGGCAGGGCAGATTGAGGTAGGCGTGGCTAGGGTTCCCAGCTTTTGGGTTCAAGAGAGAATCATGGAGAGACAGACAGACAGACAGACCAGAGGAGAGGAGGAAAGAGGATGCCACAATGGGTTAGCATGGAAAAGAAACCACATGGGTGAGAAGAAAAGACTCCCATATGAAAAAATAAAAGCAAGTATTTATAAGATTATGGATGGAAGATAGTTCATATGAGGACGATTAGGCCGATGGCATTGGATGGGGGCTGGGATATGGATGGTGAGACACTGTAGGTGAAATATCTGCCCTGCCCAAGGTAAATAAGGCAACTATAAAATCTGACAGATGTCTGTGTCTTATTATTTGTGATAGCGGGTTACATACTACTGTTGTGATAACCTTAGGGCTAATAATAAACGTTGTATAGCCCAACATTTATTTTTATTTTTAATTTTTATTTATAATAACACAGGACCATGGCTAGAATCTGTCATATGGGATTATCTCTATTAAAAATGGTGTGGTGAAGTTCGGGATTTTAGGGATTTTTATACATGTATATTGCTGCTGGTAAAATTAGGGTTAGTTGTAATGGAGAAGAGTGGGTATATGGAACAGGTACCACTGACTTTATTGCTATTATCATTTCATCTTCCTGTGGGTGGATTATAAGAGTAAAGCCTTGTGATTTCAGAGATTTTTCTGTCTTGGGAAAACAAGGTAAATGCTCAAATCTCAGATTCTACATCTGGAAAATGGGCATAAGGTTGTGGGTTTTCTGGGTTATTAGGTTAGCTAGAAAGCTAGATAAAATTTCTAGTTCAAAGGTACTCATTTGATACCAACAATTACTGTTGTATCTGAGAGCATAAAGAGCTGTGTGTGGGCTTGCCCAACATTCTCTATGTGTGGAGTAACTTTCTGTGATTCAGAGGCTGATCATTCTAAGCCATATTATCATTCCACTTTCCATTCAGTTTCTTTTCTTTTCCCCTTTCTTTTGGGACACTGTCTAATGTAACTGAAGCTGACATTAAACTTGCTGTGTAGCTGAGGCTAACCTGGGACTTCTGATCCTCTTGCCTCTGCTTCTAGAGTGCTAGGATAGCAGGTATGTACCTCTGTGCACCATTCGAGGATGCTGAGGATTTGAACTCAGGGTTTCGTGTACTGTAGACAAACCGTCTAAAAGTTGAGTTACTTTCATAGCCAGTGTTTCTTTTCTATGTGAATGAAAAATAAAATACCCAAAAATATTCCTTTAAAATTTGTAAAATACTGTCTTGTAGAATAAACTGTCAGGTATTTTTGTAATATCTTCTGATAGTAGTCCAGAATTATGTATTTCTTTCTATTAGTGCCAAATGCTCTTGTATTTATATCAGTTTATAATATATATGTTAAACAAGGTCTGTTTCTTTGAATAAATATGGTTTATGTATTTTTCTGGAATTATAGTATATTCAGCTTTGGGAGAAAACTAAATATTAAATAAGTTGCTACTTGTAGTTAATTAAAAAAGGTTTCTTTGAGATGATTTCCTCAGGCTGGAAGATATTTGACCCACAATGTTTTATTATGTAAATGATATATAATACATTCTGGAATGCTCAAAGTGTTTGTTCTTTATATATAACATAGCTATAACTAAGCAAAGATAAAGATATAAAAAACTTATGAATAGAGGCCACTGGGAAAAGGTATGTAAAACATTTCCTAGAAAACGTTCATTTTTAAAATAGCCATTCCTAAAATTAGTTTACAGTAGTATTAGTAAGAATTTCAAGGTAAAGGTTCACAACAACAACAACAAAACCTTCTAAAATAAAAATCAAGCAAACAGGAAAACTCAACCGCACTTATTTAGTATGCTGAAGAGCAAATATTTTTATGAGAGCTAGAAAATATAAGAAAGGAACATATTTTTGCAAACGATATTTAGGGTCTGAGGCCTGTGTCCATGATGTTTCCTTATCTCTTTCTGTTTTAATTTGCCTTTTTATAATTCATTTTATCTCTAGATTTTGTCCTTGGCTTTAATTCAGGAATTCTTGTGAAACTATTTTTGGAACAGTGTATGAAGATCTAACACAACAGTATTTTCATTGTCATTAGAGGTTTTTTGTTTGTGGCTTTGTCTAAACGATATGCATAAAAATCTCATTTTGATAAATAACAATTATTAGCTAATATTTGTATTTTTTTTTTCTGTAACAGAAACAAGTAAGAGTGCTAGTGAGCTTGTAGATATAACATGGAGTTCGAGTGAAAGTGATTTCTCAGATGAAGAAAAGGTAGCCCCTGAATTACAGAGAGATGGTACACATGGCTGTAGAGCAGACAGGACTCTGTTATGTCCAGAAGATGGAGCCACTGAAGGTAAAATGCTGATTTTGTAAAGTCCACTGTTTTCTTTTTTTTTTTTTTTTTTAATACCAGGTTCAGTAGTAGTGGAAACATTTTTGTTTTATATATTTATTATGAATTATGACTTTACTGAGTTATATCCTCTATAGAAAATTTTTTTTACATAATATTTCTCATGACAACTTTAAGAAATAAATATCATAGTGTCTTCATATTTTGTTTTTGCTTTATTTTTAAATTCGTTTTTTATTTTTATTTTTTGTGATTTTTCACATTATGCACTCCAATCCCACTCATCTCCCCTTCTCCTCATACCTGTCCTCCACCCAAATCTGTCCAAAAGGGAAAAAAAATATCTTATTGTGGAAGCTGTAGTGTGTCACAGTTCATTCCCTGTTATACTCTTTTGTCCACAATTCTTTGCTTGTAAATGTTCTTTGCAATGAGTCATTGGTCTGGTTTGAAGCCTTTGTCTTCTGCTACACTGTCAATATTGGAACCTTACTGGGACTCCTTTCAGATATCCTGTTGTTTCCTTGTGTCATGGAGATCCTGTAGTTTTGGGTATATAGGACTGGCTGCTTTATGCATGCCAGCAGTTCATCAATGGGTTAAATATTGGGGTGGGCCAATTTAAGGTCCTGGATCTGACACTGAGAAGTATTTGAGCTGGTTATCCCACCAGCTCTCTCACACCTACACCATCAGTGTAAGCTCTCCTGCCCTTCCCAGATAGACCATCCAGTGCCTCTGCCATCAAGGGTAGAGCCAACTTTCCCACTCTCATGTCCATGGGCCAGGCTCATCTGTGCCCATGCCAGCTCTACTGTGCTGCCCAGATGAGGTGGAGGGACTGCTCTCCTGAATGCTGTAGCAGGTAAGAGACAGGGCACGTTCTCCCACTTTCATGACCCTGGTGCCAGCTCACCCACCATACGTGATGAGGGACAAGGGAGGGAAGGAGGACATCTTTCCCTCATCTGCACCACCACACAGCAGACAAGAGTCAGGGTCAGCTCACCTATGTTCACACCCTCCAGCTGGCTAGCCTACAATCCCTACATTCAGGGCTCCCTCTGCTGTGCTGCCCAGGTGAGGTGCAGAGCCCACTGTGCTGCAGCAGGTAAGGGGCAGTGCCAGCTCTTTCACCTGCCTTAAGTGGCAGAGGCAAGGATGGGGGAGGGCATCTATCCCTTGTCCATGTTATAACATGGCAGACAAGTTGCAGGGCCGGCATACCTGTGCGCCCCACTCTCCCCCCACCCCTGTCAGCTTTAGAGGTACATGGCCTGTGAGATGTGTATTTAGCAAAGGATTTTCTCATTCTGTATGCTGTCTCATCATTCGATGGCTTCATTTGTTATACAAAAGCCTTTTAATTGCATGATGTCCTATTTGATGATTGATGGTGATAGGAGTCCTTTTCAGAAAATTCTTGCTTATACCTACATATTATTTTCCTTATTTTCCCTCTAATAATTTCAGAGTTTTATGTCTTCTATTAAGATTGGCAACTCATTTGGAGTGAACTTTCTTTCAGTGTGAGAGTAAGAGACCTAGTTTTGTTCTGCAAGTGGATATCCAGTTTTCATATATGATTTCTTGCGGCTGTCATTTCTCCAATGTATGTATAGTTTTGGCTGTAGTTACATGGTTTTACATGTGGGCCTGCTATTTTTTTTTCATTTTTTTATTTTTTAATTTTTTATTAATTACGCTTTATTCATTTTGTATCCCCCCATAAGCTCCTCCTCCTCCCCTCCCGATCCCACCCTCCCTCCCCTTTCTGCATGCATGCCACTCCCCAAGTCCACTGATAGGGGAGGTTCTCCTCTTCTTTCTGATCTTAGTCTATCAGTTCTCATCAAAAGTGGCTGCATTGTCCTCTACTGTGGCTTGGTAAGGCTGCTCCCCCCTCAGGGGGAAGTGATCAACGGGCAGGCCAATCAGATTATGTCAGAGGCAGTCCCTCTTCCCATTACTATGTAAACCACTTGGACACTGAACTGCCATGGGCTACACCTGTGCAGGGGTTCCAGGTCATCTCCACGAATAGTCCTTGGTTGGAGTATGATTTTCTGGGAAGTTCCCTGTGTTCAAATTATCTTGTTCTGTTGCTCTCCTTGTGGAGTTCCCGTCCCCTCCAGCTCTTACTATTTTCCACTTCTTACATAGAATTCCATTCACTCTGCCCATCAGTTGGCCATCAGGCTCAGCATCTGCTTTGACAGTCTATACTACAGAAGCTTTCAGAGGCCCTCTGTCGCAGGTTTCAAGGTTGTTTCCTGTTTTCTTCTGGCTTTCAGAGGCCCTCTGTAGCAGGTTCCAAGGTTGTTTCCTATTTTCTTTTTCTTCTGATGTCCATCCTCTTTGCCTTTCAGGATGGGGATTGAACATTTTAGTTAGGGTCCTTTCTTTTGCTTAGTTTGTTTAGATGTACAGATTTTAGTGGGTTTATTCTACGTTGTATGCTTATATGAGTGAGTATATACCATGCGTGTCTTTTTGCTTCTGGGACAACTCACTCAGGATGACCTTTTCCAGGTCCCACCATTTACCTGCAAATTTCATGATTTCCTTATTTTTCATTGCTGAGTAATACTCCATTGTATAGATGTACCACAGTTTCTGCATCCATTCTTCAGTTGAGGGGCATCTGGGTTGTTTCCAGGTTCTGGCTATTACAAATAAAGCTGCTACAAACATGGTTGAGCAAATGTCCTTTTTGTGTACTTGCGCCTCTTTTGGGTATATGCCTAGGAGTGGTATGGCTGGCTCTTGAGGAAGCGCTATTCCTAGTTGTCTGAGAAAGCGCCAGATTGATTTCCAGAGTGGTTGTACCAGTTTACATTCCCACCAGCAGTGGAGAAGGGTTCCCCTTTCTCCACAACCTCTCCAGCATGTGTTGTCCCTTGAGATTTTCATCTTGGCCATTCTGATGGGTGTAAGGTGAAATCTCAGGGTTGTTTTGATTTGCATTTCCCTAATGGCTAATGAGGTTGAGCATTTCTTTAAGTGCTTCTCTGCCATTTGATATTCCTCTACAGAGAATTCTCTCTTTAGCTCTGTTCCCCATTTTTTAAGTGGATTACTTGGTTTATTGTTTTTCAGCTTGTTTAGTTCTTTATATATATTGGAAATGAGTCCTCTGTCAGATAAAGGGTTGGTGATGATTCTTTCCCAATCTGTAGGCAGTTGCTTTGTTTTGATGACGGTGTCCTTTGCTTTACAGAAGCTTTTCAATTTCATGAGGTCCCATTTATTGATTGTTGCTCTTAGAGCCTGTGCTGTTGGTGTTCTGTTCAGGAAGTTTTCTCCTGTACCAATGAGTTCTAGGGTATTCCCCACTTTTTTTTCTAGCCGATTTAATGTGTCTGGTTTTATGTTGAGGTCTTTGATCCACTTGGACTTCAGTTTTGTGCAGGCTGATAAGTATGGATCTATTTTCATTTTTCTACATGTAGACATCCAGTTGGACCAGCACCATTTGTTGAAGATGCTGTCTTTTTTCCATTGTATGGTTTTGGCATCTTTGTCAAAAATCAGGTGTCCGTAAGTGTGTGGGTTTAGTTCTGGGTCTTCTGTTCGATTCCATTGATCCACCAGTCTGTTTCTATGCCATCACCATGCAGTTTTTAGTATTGCTGCTCTATAGTACAGCTTGAGATCAGGGATGGAGATACCTCCAGAAGATCTTTTATTGTAGAGGATTGTTTTAGCAATTCTGGGTTTCTTGTTGTTCCATATGAAGGTAAGAATTTTTCTTTCCAGGTCTGTAAAGAATTGTGTTGGCAATTTGATGGGAATTGCGTTGAATCTGTAGATTGCTTTTGGTAAGATGGCCATTTTTATTATATTAATCCTGCCAAGCCATGAACATGGGAGATCTTTCCATCTTCTGATCTCTTCTTCTAATTCTTTCTTCAGAGACTTGAAATTTTTTTCATACAAGTCTTTGACTTGCTTGGTTAGGGTCACACCAAGGTACTTTATGTCCTTTGTGACTATTGTGAAGGGTGTTGTTTCCCTAATTTCTTTCTCGGCCCTTTTGTCCTTTGTATACAGTAGGGCTACTGATTTTTTTGAGTTAATTTTGTATCCAGCCACTTTGCTGAAGGTGTTAATTAGCTGTAGGAATTCCCTGGTAGAGTTTTTGGGGTCACTCAGGTATACTATCATATCATCTGCAAATAGTGATACTTTGACTTCTTCTTTTCCAATTTGTATCCCCTTGATCTCCTTCAACTGTCTTATTGCTCTAGCTAGGACTTCAAGAACAATGTTGAAAAGATATGGAGAGAGTGGACAGCCTTGCCTTGTCTCTGATTTCAGTGGGAATGATTTAAGTTTCTCTCCATTGAGTTTGATGTTGGCTATAGGCTTGCTGTATATCGCCTTTACTATGTTCAGGTATGTGCCTTGTATCCCTGACCTCTCCAATACTTTAAACATGAATGGATGTTGGATTTTGAAAAGTCTTTTCAGCATCTAAGGAGATGATCATGTGGTTTTTCTCCTTCAGTTTGTTTATGTGGTGGATCACATTGATGGATTTCTGTATATTGAACCACCCCTGCATGCCTGGGATGAAGGCTACTTGGTCGTAGTGGATGATGTCTTTGATGTGTTCTTGGATTCGGTTTGCAAGTATTTTGTTGAATATTTTAGCATCAATGTTCATGAGGGAGATTGGCCTGAAATTCTCTTTCTTTGTGAGGTTTAGGTACCAACGTGACTGTGGCTTCATAGAATGAGTTTGGTAGTGTTCCTTCTGTTTCTATCTTGTGGAATAGTTTGAAGAGTATTGGTATTAACTCTTCTTTGAAGGTCTGGTAGAATTCTGCGCTGAAACCATGTGGCCCTGGGCTTTTTTTGCATGGTAGACTTTTGATGACAGCTTCTATTTCCTTAGGGGATATAGGACTATTTAATTGGTTTACCTGGTCTTGATTCAGGTTTGGCATGTAGAATCGGTCAAGAAAATTGTTCATTTCATTTAGATTTTCAAATTTTGTGGCATATAGACTTTGGAAGTAAGACTTAATTATTGTTTGGATTTCTTCAGTGTCTGTGGTTATGTCCCCCTTTTCGTTTTGGATTTTGTTGATTTGAATAGTTTCTCTCTGCCTTTTAGTTAGTTTGGCTAAGGGTTTGTATATCTTGTTGATTTTCTCAAAGAACCAGCTCTTGGTTTCATTGATTCTTCGAATTGTTTTATTTGTTTCTAATTGATTGATTTCAGCTCTGAGTTTGATTATTTCCAGCCGTCTATCCTCTTTTTTTTCTAGGGCTCTTAAGTGAGCCATTAAGTTGCTTGCATGAGATGTTTCGAATTTCTTTTTAATGCACTTAGTGCTATGAACTTTCCTCTCAGGACTGCTTTTATTGTGTCCCATAAGTTTGGGTATGTTGTGCCTTCATTTTCATTGAATTCTAGGAAGTCTTTAATTTCTTTCTTTATTTCCTCTCTGACCCAACTGTCATTTAGAAGTAAGTTGTTCAGTTTCCATGTGTGTGTAGGCCTTTTGCTATTTTTGTCATTGAGGTCCAGTTTTAGTCCATGGAGATCAGATAGGATACAAGGAATTATTTCAATCTTTTTGTATCTGTTTAGGCTTGCTTGGTGACCAATTATATGGTCTATTTTGGAGAAGGTTCCATGAGGTGCTGAGAAGAAGCTAAATTCTTTTGAGTTTGGGTGAAAGGTTTTGTAGATGTGTGTGAGGTCCATTTGATTCATGACCTCTGTCTGAGTTATTGTTTCTTTGTTTAATTTCTGCTTTGTTGACCTGTCCTTTGTTGAGACTGGGGTGTTGAAGTCTCCCACTATTATTGTGTGGGGGTCTATGTGTGATTAAGTTTTATTAAAGTTTCTTTTACAAATGTGGGTGCCCTTGCATTTGGGGCATAGATGTTCAGGATTGTGATATCTTCCTGGTGGATTTTTCCCTTGATGAGTATGAAGTGTCCTTCTCTATCTCTTTTGATTGATTTTGGTTGGAAATCTACTTTATTAGATATTAGGATGGCTACTTCTGCTTGCTTCTTGGGTCCATTTGTTTATAAGACCTTCTTCCAGCCCTTTACTCTCAGGTAATGTCTATCTTTGTGATTTAAGTGTGTTTTTGTATGCGACAGATTGTTGGGTCTTGTTTACGCATCCATTCTGTTAGTCTGTGTCTTTTTATTGGAGAATTAAATCCATTGATGTTGAGGGAGATTAATGACCACTGGCTGTTAAATGCTTTGATATTGATGTTGGCCATGGTAGTGTGTTTGTGTGTTTGGCTACTTTTGTTTTGCTGTAGTGAGGTTATTTATTTCCTATGATTTCTTGTAAGTAGGTAGTTTTCTCGGGTTGTATTTTTCCTTCTAGTATCTTCTGTAACGCTAGATTTGTGTGTAGGTATTGTTGAAATTTGTTTTTGTCGTTGAACATCTTGTTTACTCCGTCTATGAGGACTGAGAGTTTTGCTGGGTACAGTAGCCTAGGCTGACATCTGTGTTCTCTTAGGCTCTGCATGATATCTGTCCAGGCTCTTTTGGCTTTTATAGTTTCTGTTGAGAAGTCAGGTGTGATTCTGATGGGTTTGCCATTATACGTTACTTGGCCTTTTTCCCTTGCAGCTTTTAGTATTTTTTCTTGGTTCTGTATAATTACTATTTTGATTATTATGTGATGGGAGGATTTTCTTTTCTGGTCTAATTTATTAGGTGTTCTGTAGGCCTCTTGTATTCTTATAGGCTTCCCCTTTTAGTTGGGGAAATTTTTTTTCAATGATTTTGTTGAAAATATTTTCTGGGCCTTGGAGGAGGGAATCTTTTCTTTTCCTCTATTCCTATTATTCTTAGGTTTTGTCCTTTTATGTTGTCTTGGATTTCTTGGATGGTTTGTGTCAGGAATTTTTTAGATTTATTATTTTCTTTGACGGATACATTGATTTCTTCCATTGTATCTTCCACTCCTGAGATTCTTTCTTCCATGTCTTCTAGTCTGTTGGTTATGCTTACCTCTGTAGTTCCTGTTTTCTTTCCTAGGTTCTCCCTCTCCGTGATTTCCTCCACTTGTGTTTTCTTTAATTCTTCCAATGCTATCTTCAGATCTTGAACCGTTTTGTTGATTTCCTTTACCTGTCTGACTGTATTTTCCTGTTTTTCCTTAAATTCCTTCAGCTGTTTGTTTGAGCATTCCTCTGTTTCTTTTATTTCTTTCAGTAACACAGACTGTTTGGCTGCATCTTCCTGTATTTCTTTACGGATGACCATAATCTGTTTCATTATATCTTCCCCCAGTTCTTTACGCATTTTATTTACTTTCTCCATTAACCTCTTCATTAGCATGGATGTTAGGTCATCTTCTTGAATTTCACTCATGTTAGGGTGTCCAGGGCTACTTGCCCCTGTATAACTGGGTTCTGGGAATGCCATGTTGTTTTGCCTTTGGTTGGTTGTACTTTTTCGCTGGCCTCTACCCATTTCTCTGTCTCAGGTGTTGTCTGTTAATTTCTGGTGCCTGCTGAGTCCTGGGATGGGGAGAATCCACTTGGCGGGGTTCTGAAGTTCTCCTCTGCTTTTTGGGTATGGTCAACTGAATAGTGGTGCTTCTGAGGAATTGTCACAGTTCACTTCAGGTGTGTGGACCTGTATGGTAACTGTGGTATTCAGGAAGGCTCTCCTCTCCTCATGAGTGGTCCTGGTGATGGCTGTCCTGCTGCTGGGTTTCTTGCTTTGAGTTTAGTGAGCAGCAGCTGTTGCTCTTAAGGTGTAATTTTTGGGTGCAGCCCTCGTGAAGGACCAGGGATTCCCACAGTTTTGTCAGTCTAGCTAGGGATAACTGGTTGATCCTTGGCACAGTATCTGCCATAGGGCTGCTGTAATGGCCCTCTGGCTTTTGTAGGTCTGAGGATGCAGCTGTGTGCCCCAGTGCCCTAAGGGTACTCAATAATGGCGGCTGAGCACAGCGCTCCTGCCTGCAGTAGAAGGCTAGAGCCTAGAGCCTGCGTGAATCCAGAAAGTCTTTTGGTGCTGGGTGTCCTGAGCGATAGACATGATGATTCCCCCCGCTGTGGGGTTTCCTCCTGACAGGGACACCCAGTCTTTGCTTTGGGGACTGCTGTTCTGTCTGGGATGGCGAGTAGAACCCACAGGCACACACACACGTGTCTCTGCCTTTCCGGCCTTTGGGAGTCTGGGCGTCTGCCTACACTGGGAAATTTTCCTGAGACCTTTTCGGGGTGGGGGTGTCGGCTGAGTGCTCTGAGATCAGACCAGCCGTTTCCCTCCTTGTGGGTTTGCACCCGATAGTGAAACTCAGTCTCTGGTGCCCTGGGGCCCACAGTTCTATCTGAGGCGGCGAATCAGGCGTGCAGGCAGGCTCTGTGCAGGCGCCTGGGTCCCTGGCTCTGGCTCTGGGCTGGCTCCTGGGGCACCCTCGGAACCCGAGTCTTTTTCCAGGGGATGTCTGGGTGACCTAAGGTCGGTCCCAGTCATTTCCTGCACCGTGGGGTTATCTCTCGACTGGAAATTCCAGTCTCTGATGTTGTGGTGCTCACAGTTCTGTTTGGGACCGTGACTAGAGCATACTAGCATGTGGCTCTGGGCTGGCGACCAAGCGTCTGGCGGAACCAGGATCTCTTCTGAGGTTTAGCCGGGTGAGTTAAAAGCTGATTGAATCCCCCACCGTGTGGTATCATCTCACCTGGGAAACACAATCGCCTGTGTTTTATGGCCTCGAATTCTGATTGCTGGTCACTGTGCCGATCCTGCTGTGCTCCTGCTCAGAATGAGAGTCCTCCCGGTGCCGGCATCTTGCCCCCTGAAAGAAATTTTTTGAAAAAAAAAATCTTGGGTGAAATTATTTCTTTTAATTAAAATTATCTATCTATCTATCTATCTATCTATCTATCTATCTATCTATCTATCTATCTATCTATCTATCTATCTATCTATTCATTTAATGTATGTGGATGTTTTGCCTACATGTGCCTGCATACGTTTGTACACCACATGCATGCAGTACACATGGAGGCCAGAAGAGGGCACTGGATTTTTCTTGGAACAGGAAGTACAAACGTTTTAGAACCACGTGGGAGCCAGGAATTGAACCTGGGTACTTTGCAAGAGCAGTCAGTACTCCTAACTACTGAGCCATCTTTCTAGCTCTGAAAAAGTTATTTTTTAACAATGAACTATGTAAGTAAACCATGGTTCATTGATAGCCTAGAGCACTGAATTATGTAGAAAAATGAGGCAGTTTTCTGTAATTGATAAGGAGGGATTAAAATATTAAAAACAACAATAAGATGTATAAGACAGGAGAAATAAGATGTACTTTTCTTGAGTATGATGGATAAACTTCAAGGATTCAAAACGATTGGATAAAAGTTGTACACTTGTATTTTAGGTTTGGGTAAGAGATGGGAGTAGGGGTTACAGTTTTCACTGTTGGTGTTATGGGTATGTCAATCACTGAAAATAAGTTTGTAAAATAAATGTTAAGGGGATATAATATTAATAAAGTTAAAAATATATTTTGTTTTAGATGAATTACAGTTTATTGACTGGGAGATTAACAGTGACACAGAAGATCCTAGGGAACCTAGTGAGTGTGAAGATGGTGATGGGGCCGTGGACATCTCGGATTATGCTTCTTGTGCAAGTGGTCATTCTTTGACAAATGATGACAGGCTATCTGAGGTAAGAACAAATTGTTTAAACATCTCTTATTCTCCTTATAACATTTGGTAATTGTAGCTTTCTTGGTATCCAACCTTAATCCCATCTTTTCAAAGACAGTTACTTTTAATTCTTGCTAAATCATTTTCTTCTTCATTCTTATCTCTAAAGTAACAGAGACCTCCTGTCCTGAGCTCACATCTGTGAGAGCTTCCCTCTTCTGTGTGTTGTCCTTGTAGTCTCCCTCGTAGTACAGATATGTCAAGGTTTGTGACTAGCATTTGACATTTTTCACAGTTGAAATCAATCATGTTTATGAACGAGGCTACTATTCTTTCGTAGTTTTTTGTTTTCCTTGGACATAGTAATTACTATTTTTTTTACTTGTCTAATTTAGCACTAATAATTAATTTGCCACTCTTATTAGCTGTTTAAACATAGTAGGGTTTTTATCCCTTTTGTTTTCTTAGAGAACTCTACTCTACAATCATCTAGCTATTCAAATTTTGAATATTATATTCTCACTAGTTATGGATGTTGTCACCCTGGGGTCAGTATTAGTTATTTTTTAGTAGCTATGACCAAAAATTCTACAATAACAACTGAAGGGTAAAAGCATTTGTTTTAATTTGCCATCTCAGTAGCTGTGTGGTGTCATGTGCTTAAGCAGAGCATCATGCTCATGGATTTGGTGGATGCCACGTAGTAATATAAAGGGTGAGCTATCTGTTATAATCTTAAGAAGCATGGTCCTAGTCATCAGCTTCCTTCAGCTTAACACTAGGTGTTTCAGAATTTCACAAAATAAGGTTTGCAGAGGGGACAAGTGTGCACCACAAGAGTCTGCAGAGGGTTTTCCTACCCAGATGCTACCACCGTCATCCCAGGAATTTACTTATGAACTTTTAGGCTGAATTTTTTTTTTTCCTTTAAGGCTTTGAAAACATGCCTTTATTGTCCTTTGCCTTGAGTCATTGTCAATAAGCCTGAAGTAGTTACAATCTTGATATTTGAAGATTTTTTTTTTTCTGGCTTTTTACTGGTTTTAAACAGCTGGTTTGATTGTGTTGTGCCTTGGTATGGTGTTTTGTTTGATATTTGTTAGGATTGTGTTTTGGGAAGTCCTCAAGACCAATAATAACAGTATATGTTATCTTCTGTATTTTGCTGATGGGGCAGACATATATGCTGGTATCTTTGTACTGTATGCCACTGAAGTATATGACCTTAGTATGATTTTATAATAGCTATTTTAACCAGTACTGGGTGATAGCTCATTGTTTTTTTATTAAAGATTTATTTCATTATTTGTGTGTATGTTTATGTGTGTGCACATGCACATGTATGTACATGCTTGTGCGTGCTACAAGGCCAGAAGAGGTCATCAGGTCTCCTGGAGTTGGAATTATAGTAGATAATGAGCCACACAAGTGCTTTTGATAATGGAACCATTTCTCTAGCTCCTTATTGAGATTTTACTTTGCATTTCTTAGAAGACAACTGAGGATGTGCATATTTGGTCATTTGTATGTCTTCTTACATTATTAAAGTTTCTCAACAATAGCAACAATAAAAACCCCACTAAAAATTAGAACTACCCTATAACCCAATAACCATACATTTGGATATATATGCAAAGGAATTGAATCAGTGTGATGAAGGTTTATCTGTACTTCTGCTATCCTTTCCTTTTCTTTCTGTTATGAAAAAACTGACCAAAAGCATCTTGAGAGAGGATGAGGAGTCAAGGCAGGAATTAAAGGACCTTCAAGTAGAAACCACTGATGAATGAGGCTTAATAGGTTGCTCCCTGGCTTGCTACCTTTCTTTCTTTATTTTCTAAAAAAATTTTTAAAATTAAATTTTATTTTTTTTATATTAATTACAGTTTATTTATAGCCTAGCTTTAGGCCCTTCCCTCATTCCCTCCTAATCCCACCCTCTCTCCCTCATCTCCTTCCTGCCCCTAAGTCCACTGATAGGGGAGGTCCTCCTCCCCTTCCATCTGACCCAAGGTTATCAGGTCTCATCAGGAGTGGCTGCAGTGTCCTCCTCTGTGGCCTAGCAAGGCTGCTCCTCCCTCAGGGAAGTGGGGAGATCAAAGAGCCACCCACTGAGTTCATGTAAGAGACAGTCCCTGTTCACTTACTAGAGTTGCCATGGGCTACATCTGAGCAGGGTTTCTAGGTTATACCCATGTATGGTCCTTGGTTGGAGAAAAAAACCCCTGTGCCCAGATATATTTTGTCTCTGTGAAGCTTCTGTCCTCTCCAGGACTTACTAACTCCCCCTTCTTTCATATGATTCCCTGCACTCTGCCCAAGATTTGGTTATGAGTCTCAGCCTCTGCTTTGATATTCTTCTAGGCAGAGTCTCCCAGACGCCCTCCATGGTAGGCTTTTATCCTGTTTCTTGTTTTCTCCTACTTTCAATGTCCATCTTGTTTGCTTTTCTAAGTGAGTATTGATCATCTTACCCCAGGTTCTCCTTCTTGTTTAGCTTCTTTAGGTGTACAGATTTTAGTATGTTCATCCCATCTTTTAGGTCTAGTATCCACTTATAAGTGTCTTTTTAGTATCCACTTACTGTGTGTGTCTTTTTGCTTCTGGGATATCTCACTCAGGATGATCTTTTCTAGATCCCACCCTTTGGATTTCCTTGTTTTTAATTGCTGAGTAATACTCCATTGTGGCTCCCCAGGACTTCCCAGCAGGCTACCTTTCTAGTACAACCCAGGTTTCTATGCTCAGGAATGATATCCCCTGGAGTTAAGAAAATGTTCCACAGATATTCCCAGAATGCAGTCTGATGAATTCAGTTCTTAATTGAGATTCCTCTTCCCAGGCATGTCTAGTTTTGTGTCAAGGTGACAAAAATTGACAACTATGTTACTGCAGAATTATTCATCTTAGCAAGATCTAGAAGCAACTGAGATGTTGAGACATGAACAAATGCAAATAGGTAGATAAAATGTGTTATAAATATGTGATTAATTCTATTCATCCTTTAAAAAGAAAGGAATTCTGACATTTGTACCAATGCTGGTGAGCTTAGAGGACATCTGCTAACTAAAATAAATCAGATACATATAAAGAAAAAATAGGTTTAGTATCCTATATCTGAGGTTGCTTTAGATAAAATATGTTTTAGATTTTAGAGTTTTTGGACTATTTGCATACATATAATCAATTATCCTGGATATTAAGTCTAAATTACTTTGTTCAGTTACACTTGGTTTATAACCATGTACACAAAGACTGAAGGAAATTTATCAATTGCTTTTAGTGTGCCTGGCTTTTAACTCTAATTGAACACATGAGATCAAGGGTGCAATTTTCCACTTAGTGTATCCTGTCAGCAACTCAGAAAGTTTTAGATTTTGGAGTTTGTATTTTTGATTTAGGGATGCTCAGCCTATTTTACTATGGGATAATTTAGGAAGAATTGGTATTAGCTTTGTTTTTTTTTTTTTTTTTTTGAGACAAGATTTCACTATGTAGTTCTGGTTGGTCTGAAACTTCCTATGAAGACCAGCTGGCCTCAGGTTGACAGAGGTCCACCTGCCTCTGCCTCCCATGTGCTGGGATTAAAAGCATGTGCCACCAACCCTTCTCCATTGCTGGTGGGAATGTAAACTGGTACAACCACTTTGGAAATCTATCTGGTGCTTTCTCAGACAATTAGGAATAGTGCTTCCTCAAGACACTGCTAGGTATATACCAAAAATTTGCTCAAGTATACAACAAGGAGTTTTGCTCAACCATGTTTGTAGCAGCTTTATTTGTAATAGCCAGAAGCTGGAAACAACCCAAATGTCCATCAATGGAGGAATAGATACAGAAATTGTGTTATTTTTACACAATGGAATACTAGTCAGCAGTCAAAAAGGAGGAAATCATGAAATTTGAAGGCAAATGGTGGGATCTAGAAAAGATCATTCTGAATGAAGTATCACAGAAGGAGAAAGACAAACATGGTATGTACTCACTTATATAGACCTACAAGATATGATAAACATAATGAAATCTGTATACCTAAAAAAGATAAACAAGAAAGCGGACACAGGGTAAAATGATCAATCCTCACTTAGAAAGACAAATGGGATGTGCATTGGATATATGACAAGAGTCTACTGCAGAAGGCATCTGAAAGACTTTACCTAGCAGTGTTTCAAAGTAGATACTAAGACTCATAACCAAACCTTTGGCAGAGTGCAGGAAATCATATGAAAGAAGGGGAGTTAGTATGATGTGGAAAGGATAGGAGCTCCACAAGGACCAAATATATCTGGGCACAGGGGTCTTTTCTGAGACTGATACTCCACCAAGGACCATGTATGGATATAACCTAGAAACTCTGCTCGGATGTAGCCCGTGGCAGCTCAGTAACCAATTGGTTTCCCATAGTAAGGGGAACAAGGACTATTTCTGACAGGAACTCAAAGGCAGGCTCTTTGACCTCCCCCCCCCCCAAGGGAGGAGCAGTCCTGCTAGGCCACAGAGGAGGACTTTGCAGCCAGTCCTGATGATACCTGATAAAACAGGGTCAGATGAAAGGGGAGGAGGACCTCCCCAATCAGTGGACTTGGAAAGGGGCAGGGAGGAGATGAGGGAGGGAGGGTAGGATTGGGAGGGAATAAGGGAGCAGGATACAGCTGGGATACAGAGTTAATAAAATGTAACTAATAATAAAAAAAAAATAAAATTAACTTAAAAAAAAAAAAAAGCATGTGCCACCAAATGTGGGCTGATGTTAATTCTTAAAATGTTTGGTAGAGTTCAGGATGGAAGCCATAAGTTCTGATCTTTTCTCTGATGGGATTTGTTTTAATTGCTGAATCACTTACTTTGCTGAGCTATGTAGACTTTCTCTTTTTTCATGATTCAGGTGGTGAAATTTTAGGAATTTTATTAATTTATTCTGGATAACTAGTGGACTGGTGTTTAATCCTTGTTTTTTGTTTATGAGGTTTCTATTGTAATGGTTCCTTTTTCATTTTTTTCCCTTAGTATTTCCGTTTC